CAAACACCTTGGCTTTACGACGTCCCATCAGGCTGACTCATTAATAAAACGCAGTACAAACACATTAAAAACTAGACAGTGCATTCAGTACACGTTAATGAAATTGCCCATGTTGGAGGCCATTTATTGGGTTCTTCCCTGGCACAAGCTACACCCCTTACACCATTCTACCACCTTAGTGCAAGTAAAAGCATATTTGTTGTATCAATATGACCATCTTAACAAGGTTGTTAGGGTTGCTAAAAGGTTTAAAGCTTAAAACTGATCCAGGGTTTGGAGCGTTCTTTTAAAGGGGATCACCTCCTAAACTCTGAATTCCAATATGGTATTTCCATGGCCTAAGAAAGTACAATCAATATTGTTTTAACATGAGGTTAAAGCCAGAAACAACAGAAGTCTCAAAATGAATAACTGACTTCTTGGGAGTGTATCAGTTCTGAAACTGAAAATGTCACGCAATAATCCTTTGGGTGCTCTGAGTGTTATTCATAACAACCTTCCCAATTCACTGTCTATGGAGGAGTTCCAGACTTTGTACTAAGTGACATCCCACATTTGAGTTACAGCTCTCTATTGTTCATGGATTCAGGTTTAGTAATGTGTTCAAAGTCAAAGTTTGTTTGTACAGACAGAGAGATCGAATTACCGCTTCCCACAATCCCAAATACAAAAACAAATATATATAAAAATATGTATGCAAAATGTATATACCTACAGTATAACAATCAAAAGACACATTTATAGATATGCACACATTAAGACATAAATCATTCGGAGTGTCTTGGACCATTATATGATACAATACGATATGATACAATCGACTTTATCGTACATAATATTCGTTAGAGTGAGATTTTTCTATTCAAAATGAAACAGAACAGACTCAAGCAGAATAAAATACTTTTAGACTTTCAGGTCAAAGCACTTCGCAGGACATGCTCGTGCCAACTAGGGGGAAAGTGCTGATGTTAAAAACAAGACAAATCTAATATCATTTGGATAACATACCAACTAGACTGGACTAACGGTCTCTCCCATGCAGCTGGAGGAGGAGCTGATGGACCTGCAGAAGAAGATGAAGATGACAGAGGACGAACTGGACAAATTCTCCGAGGGCCTGAAAGACGCTCAGGAGAAACTGGAACTGTCCGAGAAGACGGCTGCAGACGTGAGTGAAGGGTCACACACTTACTGTACACACATTTAACAGGGGGGTCTTTCATCTCTGTATTTGATGGACGGTTTCAGATAGCCCAGTTGAATCTCTTCTAAGCCCCTGATAGTGGTGACAGCCAACAGCCTCTGTGCTGTGCTTGATGAAGAAACAGACACAACTAATGTTGATTCAAAAGTTCTTATCTACTTAGAAGCAGATTGGGATCTTGGTGAAACAATCCTGGTCTGAGTAAACTATTCAGTATGAGATTCAATTATAGTATTTCTGTAGCTCAACTGAACTCAATAACAAACAGAAACAGTGATCTAACTTTGAAGACTTCAGGAAATAATCAAAAATGACATAAATAGTTTTTTTTAAATATTATTTTGTAGCAGTTATTGGCATTACACATGATCAGTTTCACTTTATGAAAAACTGCCAGCCCTATACAGTCATGATGATGCATCACCCTGTCTAATTTAATCTTAATCACAAATGTGAGTATTGACAAGAGGCTTATGCTGTAGTCGTGTTACCTGCTGTTCTTCTAACGTTGACACACACTCACGTTACCATGGAGCTGCTAAAGACCAGAGACTATTACTCCACAGCTGGACGGTCCTCAAGCCCAGCTGTGGGTTCACTTTGATCCACAGAGAAGCACTTCAGAGACGGTTACATTCCTGTGCAGCCACTCCTGAAAGATGAGCACACGGATAAACTGTAACCCCCTCAACCAAACACACACACACACACACACACACACACACACACACACACACACACACACACACACACACACACACACACTCTCTCTCTCTCTCTCTCTCTCGCCCCGCCCTCTCTGACCTCATCATGCCGATCACTGCTCTCCTCCTCCGGCTCTCAGTCTGGCGCTCTCCGCTCTCCTCACCACGCAGCTTTTCTAATTCCTCCTCCTCAAAAAAAAGTGTGTCCGGACCAAAAAACTGCAACATTCCTGAGGACTACTTTTTAAACTGCTGGTGAACGTATCATTCCTACAGAGCAGAAGAGACACTTTGGACCAACACCTGGGCAGCGTTTACTTCCTGGTTATATAACTTTTTTCTTTGCACTTGAACGACTCCTTTACATTCCAAAGACTTTGGACCAACATTTTTGTCTTTTTCTTCAGAGTTCTTAGTGTTTGACTCTAACTAAACCAAATAAGCAGTTCACTGTAGCGACTTTTTTTATATTGCACAACCCAGAAATAGTCTTAACTGCGTTTTTTCCCTTTACGCGTAGTGTTCAATTAAGTAACCAAACAGGCAATAATGGCAGGTTTGAACTCTCTGGATGCCGTGAAGAGGAAGATTCAGAGTTTGCAGCAGCAGGCCGACGATGCAGAGGACCGGGCTCAGGTCATACAGAGAGAACTGGACAGTGAACGCGAACTCCGGGGGAAAGTGAGACAAATACTTTTTAAACCTCTTTTCCCTGGGTCTTAAAACCCCAGTTTCTCTCTATTATCACCTGTCAGTCTTATACAATGGTTTCAACTTCTCTATATTCACACTGCTCAGGCTGTGAAAAATACTGAAAAGTTCATGTCATTGATTCATTCGCGGGCGTGATTGTGCCACAATGCAAGGCGTTGGTCTGCGCTGAAAAAAACTTTGGATTCCTGCAGGTCTGTTGCGCATGCGCAGTGGTGTCTGATTCACAGGCCGCTGTACCGTGAATGGTGTGTAGACCACGTAGACAGCATTGGAGCTATTGTGCAATTTAATTAATCTATTAGACTCACCGGATTACTGCTTATTAATACATCATGTTCATATTTAATTGTATTATACTTTAAACTACTTATTAATGAGGTTTTAGAAGCTTTTAAGAGCTGGAAACACTTAGATTAAAGGGATAATGTTGTGACGCTTTGCTCAGAAGCACTTCAGCAGAGGGGTTGTGTGCCAGCAGCAGCTGCCAGGGTAACTGCCCAACCACCATCCTGTCTCCACCAATGAAAGGAAAATAAAAGGCATATACTTAAAAGTATGCCTACTCTGTTATTAAGGAATCAAAGGAATAGCCTGGAAATTGGGCAATTTTTAACGAGAGTTGAAGCTATTACTTTCTTAATCGATCAACAGAAAGTGAATCAACAATTTCAAACTTTTAGGGAGTTTCTTTAAGCCATAATGTCATAGAAATACTGTTCTCAGCTTCCCAGATGTTAATATGTTCCAGTTTTTTTACACCTCCATGAAAATCAACTTGACATTATTTGGTTTTAGACTGTTGGTCAAACAAAACAAGATAATTGAAGATGTCACTTGACTTTAGGAACTTGGAAAGTACATTTGTTTGCTATTGACTGACATTATGTAGATCAAACTGTTATTCTGTAGATAAATCAATTCGATCATTAACAAATGAGATACTTTTAATCATCTTTAAAGTCATTTTAATGCCAAAATGGCAGAAAATGCTGTTTTAAGCCTCTCAAATATGGAGATTTCTTAATGTTACGCTTAATTCATACTTAAGTGACTCTCTTTGGGATTTGAATTGACGCACAAGACATTTTTAGGCATTGCATTGATCTTTGAGTGACTACAAAGGACATTTTCCACTATTTTCTCACATTTGTTTGACCAGAAAAATATTTGACAGATTAATATATAATGAAAATAGCATTGTAGACCCACTTCCATGCGTTTAAGATTCATCAGTACAGTAGCAGAAGCAGGAGAACAATTCAGATTGAGTTACCACACAAAAATGTGGTTTCTCGACGCGGGGATGTTTTGAAAATGACTCATACAGTACGTATTCACCCATGTCTGTCACCTGCCTCTCTCTTGACTCAGCCCACTTCCGAGGACTGTAGCCACACACAGAAAAGGTGTGGTGCTTCAATTGGAGAAAAAAAAATGCTTAGCGGCACAGTTAGGTAACAGTCTTGACTTGTTTCACGTGCTGCTTTATGGCATTCGGAGCCATATCCTTTTGCATAGGAGCCGGTTAATGACAGGACAAGAGGAGAGATTGAAGGAGAGTGGGAGGGGAAGGTGTGGCTGTAAAGATATGGAGCTGAGATGATGAAAGGAGCTGGTGTGCTGTAGGATTTACCCCTTTTGTTACAGACTGCCTATTAGGTAACATGGTCCTTTGACAATAGGGCGTTTGGTCGCCTTGTGGGTTAGGGTTCTATATATACACATCAGTGACGTCAGTAATCATTATTTATAATAATTACAGTGTTTAAATTCAAGGGCATAGTTTTCTTATGGTCAATTCATGTTGGGACCGACCTTAACTCTATCATTAAGTATTGGGATGTTGTCTTTGTTCGGTCGATGCTTTCTCAAGGGTTGGTTTTATTGGTCTTTTTGGTTTTAATGAACCAAAATGTTTTTATTTGATTCATGCTGACGACCTTCTTGCATCAAACATCTCTGGTAACACATGTTTTAAAGCTGTCCTCTTGCATTATTATTTGTGTAAATTCAATCGACTTATTGCTTGGTTGGCAAAGGAGGAGCCAGCTGGTTTTGACTCATTGAATGTCTGTTTGTTTTGTTTAGCGAAATCTTCAACTTGCAGGAATACTTCTCAATGGAAAGCATAGTAAATGTGCTTAATAAACAGATTTCTGGTAACATTTCATCTTTTGGGATAGAGAGGCTGACATCTACTATCACTTTCTGATGTAAATTGAGGCTTTGATGTGTTTCCAACCAAATGCAAGAGTGATATACTGCTTCAGAGCCAGATGTGGTGACGAGCACTTTTTATAAGGACGATTCAGGTGTGGATTTTTAGAGATATTACGGTAACTGTAAACACTTAACACCGTGATAAATATTTATGAGCAGATATAAAGACACTTCTACCATAAATCCACAGTTCATATCGCCTAGTTACAGCTGTGTTGAATACATTAGTGCCGTTCATTGAATGAATGTGTTGACAAATAGATCAATTAACACTTAGATAGCGCCCATATCAGCTACTACGTTAGAGTATGTGTAAAACAACTTGTTTACAATGCTTGTAAATAAATAGGAGGGTTGTAAGACTTTGTATTTTGGAAAAAGTGTTTCCATTTCAGCCTTAAAGTGTAAAAGCAGGTTCAGCTTTTTCACTTCTCACTCCATTCAAAGTGAAACAGCGTTTGTGTGGCGAGGCTGCTGTGGTCCCAGATGTGAATAATTAGGACAACCTGCAGTTATTCCATGGCACAAAAACCCTTTTCATCAGAGCACAGGGAGATCAAAACACGTTCGCCGAGTGTTAAGGAATCATTGTTTGGAGGCAGGGAAGAAAAAAACGACTTGGCCACATATCTTACTAAAGAATAAAAGAAATGTAATTGCCTCGTGTTACTTCATTGTGGTTTTTTGACGCCTCTGGAGACGTTACTCAATAATGCTTTAAGTCTCTGTCAGCTTACACAAGAGACATTGTGTTAAAACGCTCTTTTGACCGCCTTAGATGTTTTTTATTTACGGATGTTAATCTCAATGAACTGTTCATTCTTCATAGTGTTTACAGCAGCTGCTTGTTTGAGTCGAAGGTCGGGCTGAAGACGAAGATTTGTTCTTCATTCATGACCCTGAGAGCTGTGTGAGCAACACAGATAAACTAGACTGGCTGCTTTTTATATCATGGAAGCAAATGTGTGAAGGTTGATTTTATGTTATTGACACATTCCATCATGTATTCAGGGTTCCCATGCCTTCTTAAACATCAAATATAGAGACCTTTCATGGACTTTTCAGACCAACTTTTACAAAAATGTATAAATTCAGGCCTTTTCAATTCCCCAAGTCTATAAATTTATATTTTGAAGTCCTTAATTTTCCCCTCATCATTCACAAACTCTCATGCAGTTAAAGGACCTGTCGGAACCATGTTTTTTATACTGAGATAAAATAATGACTTGGCTAATTTCAGAACAGTCAATTGGATTTCCCGTCACTTCTTGCCATACATTTTAAACTCATCAAAATCTAAAGACAGATAAAAGGGGAAGTGGGACTCAAAATCCTATTATATTACACTCACTCACTCACTCACTCACTCACTCACTCACTCACTCACTCACACACCCAGGCTGCCCCTCCCAGGATGTCGTCTGCCGACTCTGGCGCAGCACTTCCTGTGTTTCTACTCCCAACACTTCCTGTCCCTGAGCTTCAGCCCTGATCAACAGGAAGATTAGTGTGTGTGTGTGTGGACCAAGAGTACATGGATTCCAGTTAGTGGCACACAATTTTCGTACAAGTTTAATACTAAAGCCCATCTTAAAGCCATGTAACCTACTGATTTCAAACCATACCTAATTATATGTCCTTTTTTATTTTAATATCTACTGTAACGTAATGGCATGAACATTGGATTTTCTAGATATGCATTACAACAGTTCTCATTTAATAATTAGGGCTGCAACATATAGTGATTTCTTTAATTGATTATTCTGCTAATTGTTTTCTACATTAATCAATAAATAGTTTAGTCAGAAAATGTTGAATCCATAGTCTCTCAAAGTCCAAGGTGATTTCTTTAAATGGCTTGTTTTATACCCCGAAAAGATGTTATAAAATAAAGCTTGAAATCTCCATATGTAATGGTCTGAAACCTGCATTTTCTGACATTTTTGGATGGAAAATTACTTTGCAGTGAGTCGATGTTCCAAATATTTGGCAGTTATACGTTGCAGCTCTATTCTATACCACTTACACCACATATTGAAAGCTAATTGTACGAAGTCATTTAGAAATACTTCTCTCAGCTCAACAGTTTGTTAGAATCAGCGAGAGGTTTCATCTCTTTGCTGCTTATTGTGGTCCAATGGCTTGAGGGTTTTCTGATGGGCCTCTAGCCGTAGAGTGTTTTCTTTGGACCTTCTCCCTGGGAAGAGCCCAACTTTCCAAATATAACTGCCACATGTTGAGACGTTTTGGCAGTCGCTGTCGGCATTCTGGAGAAAACTCCCATGTTAGCGGTTTGTGGAAGTTGTGGTTTCGCTTTTATGCAGGACAAAGATGGTGCTAAATTAGCTATAATGTCATTTAGTAGATTAAGAGTGTAGAAATTATGCAGATATATTTTCTCTACGGATGCATGTAAGGCTTGGTGATGACATTTTTGCTGTTGTTTTTGTCAAAGCAGGATCTTTGCATCTGTTGGCGTGTTAGCACTGCACATAAATGTTTATATGGTACTTTAAAGCTAAATGAATACCATTTCCATTATCGTTTAAAGCTGAAAGAACCAAATAAACACTTTTATTTATTAAAACCGCTTCTAGGTTTGCTAGTTGGACTACATAATTGGATGCCATTTTTCCAGAAATGTAACATATATGCAAGAAGGACAACTGTCTTCATAATTTTGTCATAACTATGAATTCCTGAAGGGCAATTGTTCACGTTGCAATGACTCTCTTTTCCGGATAATT